TGGGGGACGGAGTGGGGTCCCAGCTCCGGTCATTCAGTCCCTCTTCCCCTCCATCCCGCTCGCTGGATCCCACAGATCCTCAGGCTCACGTCCCCGTGGGTCCCAGAGGGAGCTTTGCCTCCCCCCCGCCAGCAAGCCTGGGTCCGTGTCTAACCCTGCGCCTGGAGATCCTACGCCCAGGAGCGCTGAGTGCTGGGGGTCCACCCAGGACCTGTCTCGCCCGGGATGCTGTGTCCAACCCCTGGACCCAGCTCCTGCGTGTCTGGGTTGCAACACGCTGCGTGGCCCCGTTGCCGGCTCCTCTCCGCCTGCTGTCCCCGCGGCTCTGTTCGTCCCGCCGTGTCCGCGGTGCATCTCCTCCTGCCCAGGCACGGCTCCCGGGTCTCCTCGTGTCTCCTGAGCTCCAGGTCTCGCATAGAGGATTGGGTGTAGCTGTACTGGATCTGCCCTTTGCTGCTCTTCATCTCCCAGTTCCGCTGCCTCCATCGCAGCGGGACCCTCCGCTGCCTCCGTCTCTCCCCTTGGGTCCCACCTGGGTTTAAATCCCACACGGGAACCTGACGGGAGTCTCGCTGGCCGAGTCCCAGTGCCCAAGTACTCAGCGCGCATCTTAGAGGTGACGGACACCCAGATGCGAGCAGCTCCTCCCTGGGTGTAAATCAGCATTGTCCCCTTCACCCCAAGACGGGATCTGGGTCATGAGGGGTGTGGGAACCCACCGAGGCTGCTCTCTGCTCCCCTCTGCGTGGTCCTGGCTGCGGACTGAGATGTGTCATGTCTCGTCAGGGGTCCGGAGGGCTCCAGCTCACCAGCCTGTGCTTTAGTAAGACCTTCCCAGGTGAGGAGCTCAGTGGTGGCGCGTAACAGCTCACAAGAGGGTGTTTTGCCTCTGTGGCCCGTTCCCATCCTGGCACCATGCTCGCAAAGCCTTCCCTGGGTCAGCCGTGCCCTCCTAATTCACCTTGATATTTCTGTTACACAAATTGGTGTCCAAACCAATTGTGGGTGTCCTGGGAGAGTGACTCATTCTCCGTCTGCATCTCCCTGGACGGGGCGAGCATCTCACTTCAGAGCACACGGAGGGGGTGGCAGGTGGGCTCCGTGCGCAGAAAAAACCCAAATCTCAGCAGATCAGTTGCCTTTTCTTTCCAGGGAAGGGGGATGGGAGAGGCCAGATCTTGCTTGAACAGTCAACGTAAGTTGCCTTTGCTTTTCCCTGCTCTTCAAGGTCAGCCTAGCTAATGAAAATCAATCTTCCCTCTGCCTCTCTCTGCTGCATGAGCAGATTCTACCTGTGGCCCCTC